CTAGTAGCAGTGAACTACAGAAATGAATGTTTTGATGGAGAAAATGACCTTTTGTCTGTAGTTTTCATTTCTTTTGTTTGTTTTTTTTTTGTTTTGTTTTGTTTTTAACATGAATTTTGGTCAGTCCTTGTGATGGTCAAACATTCTCTTTTAAGTTGTTATTTAAGATAAGAGCTGGATGGATTCATGTTGCTCTGAATTCCCTTGGTCATTTTGACAGTTTTATTGTTTCCTGGAAAGGGGATGTGTCTCTGTTAAGTGTGTTTGTGTGTTATTTGGTTCTTAGGGAGTGAGTGAGTATGATGTGTGTAAGTGTGTATATTCGTGTGGGTGGGTGCATAAGTGTGAGGCCTCAATACCTCTGTAAGCATATCTGTCTTGTGTGAGTGGGAAATGTGGGTAGGTCCGGATTTGTGGGGTTATATATTAATACTATCTATATTGTTAAATTTGTGATTAAGCTCGTCTGGTTAGTGCGTTTTTAAACGTCGTATCCACTTATTTTCATAGAACTCTAAAATCTTTCTAATGTTATCTGCTATGAAATTTTCTATTCTCTCAATTATAGTAAATTAGACATGGGTTTTAACATCGTGTTTTTCTAGGTGAAAATGTTGTTCTACCGGTAAAAATCTTCCATGTGGAGTTGACTTAATTCGATAGCGATAATTATTAATTCTGTAGTAAAAGGGCCATTCACATTTTCCTACATATTGTTTCTGTTATATATATATATATATATATATATATATATATATATATATATATATATATATATAAAGATAGATAGATAGATAGATAGATAGATAGATAGATTAGATGGAAAATATACATACATATGCAAAATATATAAATTCCCATACATGTATATTTTAGAAAAAAAAAATCCAAGAGGAAGAATCCAGGTAGAACTCAATGTCTAGGACAGAGTAAGGATATAATAAAAAGGCTTAAACACTAATATTCCATGGTCATAATTTATTCCATTGGAATCGTAAATACGATCCAATTCATCAGACCTACAAATTCAAAAAGAAAACAGAAAAAAAACCCACTCCGGAAATAAAAACAGAATTTAGAGAGAGTGTAAGTATGAGGAGGAGGGGGATTAAACCTTAACAGAGAGAATTTTAGGAGAGATGGGTGGAAGGGGTTTAATTAAGAGAAAAAAATGAATGTTGACGGATGTCTAATGCATAAAGATACATTTCGTGGTGACTTGCACACACCATAGACAATCTAATGTTAGAATAAGAGGGAGGGAAAGACGAGGTGGGCAGAGGACATTTTGGATTAATAGTTATGAAAGTTATCAAAATTATATGCCAAGCCGAAACACACACTATTAATTTTGAATAGTTGTATATATAACTTTATTGCATTCTATCACAATGTTCACTTTTTTATAATCCTCGATCGTTTTTTTTTTAAAGTAAGCAGACTGGATTGGAGATGAAAAAAAAAATAGAAATTGATGATATTTGAACTTATTTCCCACTTTCTGTAACCCTGTCTGACATGGACGTTGTATTATCAATTCAGTTACGTTGGACCAGCAGCTAAGGAATGTCAAATTTAGAATCAATATACCTGCACCTTTCTAATTTAATTATGAAACCAATTTTGTTTAATATCTCTGGGTTATAGTAAACATGATCACCTGGAATGAAAGAATTTCTTACATGGAATATTTCAGTTATTTTTCATTAGTTTAAATCTCGACGGAACTACAATTACATTCTCCATAGGTGCCATTTTTTTAAAATAAAGAAAAAACAATAAAAGTAAAGCGGTCTTGAAAAGTAATTTTAACATGAATGTAAAACTAGTAAAAAATGAATAATGAAATAACTTACCGCCGATATTCAAACAGATTAAAAGCATCACGTCAGCCATATTTGTTTTCAATCGGTTTGCTCAAACAGCCGGGCAATAATTGATTGTCTTTAATAGGCTATTAGTAATCGTTCGCCATTGGATCAGACTTAAACTGACCACCACGAAAACTTCTTTTAGACTTGTATTATATCATGTCGACTCAGTGTTTTAAATGTAATGTAAAACAAGCGTTTTAGGTTATAGTCTTTTAGTTTTCAAAAAAGCACACTCTAGCAATTTATGGGACATAGCTAAAATATATATTTTATTTTTAGGAGTGAGAATTGCTTGTAAGCTAAACAATTTGCCAAGCAGTAGTGAGTTCGATACTTACTGAGTGCCCTATACTCGGCACTTTAAGCCAAATTCAGTTAAACTAAGTGAATAACATCTAAAGTGTAATTGACATCTTATCGCAAATGATTAAGTTACATAGAAGGAAATATTTTATTGAAAGCCGGACATCCACAAAAATGCTTTCAGCAATTTCATTTAATGACTGAGACTATCAAATCTCATTTTCTTAATTCTCCATAAAGGTAGACAAGTCTGCGGTGCAATATTTCTTTTCGTTTGAAGTGAATAACATTTAATTAACTTTTATCTTTTTTGACATTACGTCTATTGTCTGTCTGCTATTCATATTATTTATTTATCTATTTACATGTGTCCACACAAGTTGTCTCAAGGTTGCCGTTGTAAAAGCAAATATTTTGTTTGCATTTTTAAGGAACCCGTAGCACTTTTTTTAGTATTCATGCAGATATGAACATTCATTTGATTTTTTGAGCGGTAGTCTGAAAGAACGGCGTCTGACATAAAAGTACATACGAAACAAAGATATATCATTGAATTCTTCTATACAACCATTGCCCTACACCGAGGCCTACTGAACGCTTCTGCGGACCAAACAGTCGACAAAGCTGACGGTATTTTCCAAAAAACGGTTGTTTTTTCTATGTACCGTGTCCCATCAGGAAGTAGACAATCATGGCTCTCCACAACTTCTTTTTGTTATCTCTATTAAACCTTGCTCCAACATAACTTTACTCAAGCTCTCAAGGTGTTATGCGTTATTTTCCTCTTTTCTTCTATTTGCCCTGCAAGTATCAAATTATCCTAGCCTTCTTTCCTCATCAGAAATTTCAACTATCTCTTCCTGATGTTAAATTTAAATGTCCTGTTAGTTTCTATTTTCTCTAAAATTTCATCATATTTTGGTATTCTTAGCTTACTTCTGTAGTTCCGTATTTCTTTTGCTTCAAATCTCTCCTTCATCAGTAACGAGATTGTCCAGCATTCAGTGCTATATAGGAGGACTGATATTACATAATGTTTCAGTACTTTTTTTTAATGATATTTTCCTGTTTCTTAATACTTTGTTTAGCTTTTGGAAAGCATCTTTCGCAATCCCAATGCGCCTTCGAATTTCAATGTCACACTTTCCGTCTTTGCATTTCCCAGATATTTAAATTGCTGTACTGGCTTGATTTTCTATTACCAATTTGTAATTTTCATGTTGAGCTGTTACTTTCACTAACCACCATGCATTCCGTTTTCTTTCAATTGACCTTTAGTCCTTTCTTCTAGCTTTCTTTCACGACCTTCTATATTCTAATTTTCGTTCTGTGTCTGTTATCAACATTGTGTCATCTGCACATCTTATGTTCTTAAGATTTTGGTTGCTATTCCTTGTAGGGCATCCAATTCTCTGAGAACCGCCTCACTGCATAGAATGAATAAGTCTGGTGAGAGGGCACGCCCTTGTTTTACACATCTTTTCATTTTTCTATATTTACTGAAATCATTTTCTATCCGTATGCAGGCGGTTTGCTGCTAATATAGAATCATTAGAATTCATATGGTAAGTTTTGTTATATGGTTCCTTAGGCTGATTGTCAGATAGAGTTCACGTTCGTTTGCAACTGGCTTTTGAAGCAGTGCTATGAAAACTGATATCATTCTGTCTTCTGGTATATATATCCACATATATTTCACTTATTATGTCTGTATTCTTGTCTATACCGAAATCTTCTAAAGCTGCCAGCATCTCTTTTACAATTCCGTCTGGTCCTGCTGCTTTGTTTCTGTTCAATTTGGCCAATGATTATTCAGTTTAAGATATTAATATTAGTTCTTGTGTACGTCTTTTCTCCTCGTAGTTCTCTTATTTTTTTATGCATATCTGCTTTAGCTGTAATAGTTATTCTTTCTATTTCTGTACATTTTCCGTTGAATCATTCCTCTTTAGCTTGCTTGCATTTGTTACTATATTCTGTACTTTGGCATTATTTTTGCCTTCTTTTCATCATTTCAAGAATTTCACCTGTTATTCATTCTTTATTTGTCTATTTTTTTGTATGCGGGGTATGATCTGAATTATTGATCTGACTAAAGCTTCTCGTAATATGTCCGATTTCGAGTTTTAATTCTCATTTTTCTCCTTCATATTCGGGTTATTCAGTGGTCTGTCGTATTGCATTTTAGGTGGAATGTGGTAATTCCTGCAGTGAGTTGCCTTCTCCGGTATTTTTTATGCAGGTTTTTGTTCCCTGTTGACGATAAAGCATTGCCAGTGGTAGTGACTATTGTAGCTGAAAAGTTGTTCTGTTCCTCGGGGATGATTGGGTTGTCTGTATCCGCACCTGTTACAGTTTCTGTGCAAAGAAATAAGAGGCATTACTTTTGGAATGTCCCTCGTATATTTTGAATATATTTCGAGTGTCGCTTTCATGCTTCAATGCAATCGTCAGGCTTCGTCTGAGATCGCATCGAGGCGTGAACCTTACAGTCACCATGCTAGATGTCACTTAATATAACCGCTCCATCTCTCTCTCTCTCTCTCTCTATATATATATATATATATATATATATATATATCTGTCTGTCTGTCTATCTATCTATGTTCATATCTATCTATATATCTAAATCTGTTCATATCTATGTTCATTATCTATCTATCTATGTTTATATCTATCTATATATATAATTCTGTTCATATCTATGTTCATTATCTATCTATCTATATATATATATATATATATATATATATATATAGATATAGATATAGATATATATATATATATAGATATAGATATAGATATATATATATATATTTCTGTATGTCTGCCTATCTATCTAAATCTGTTCGTATCTATCTTCAATATTCCAACATTTATCTTTTTTTTCTTTTTGAGTATTTCTTTTCTCTCTCACTTTTTATTTATCATTTTGTTTGTTTTGCCTCTCACTCTCACTCTCTCTCTCTTTCTCTCTCTCACTCTCTATCTCTCACCCTCTCTCTCTTTCTCTTTCTCTCTTTCTCTCTCTCACTCTCTCTCTTTCTCTCTCTTTCTCTCTCTCACTCTCGCTTTCTCTCTCTCACTCTTTCTTTCTTCGATCCCCTTTCATTATTGTCTTTTACTTTTGCTTTTATTTTTTATTTCTTTTCATCTCTTATCTTTTTTCTCACTTTTTTCTTTTTTCTTTCTTTTTTCCACTTTTCTTGTATTCCCTTTTATCGTTTTTCCACTTTCCCCATACTTCTATTCTCTCTTTCCCCTTCATTTTATCTTTCTCTAATTCTTCCCTCCTTCTTTCTCTTTTCTTCTCTTTCTATTTTTCTCTTTTCTTTTCTTTCTCTTCTTCTTTTCGTTACTTTCTCTTTTTCTTCATCTCATTCTTTTCTCCTTTCTGTCCTTTTTTTCTCTTTCTGACACTTCCTTTTTAATCTTCTCTCTTTCTTTTCTCTTTCTATTTTATTCCCTTCTTTCTTTTCATTCCCCCGTTTTCTTCTCTTGCCTCCGTTTCTTCTTTACACTTTTTCTTCTCTTCGCTTTTTTTTTTTCATTTTCGCTCTTTTTTTTTGCTTTTTTATTCCGTTTTTTCTTTTCTTCATCTTCCTTGCGTTTTCGTTATTTTTATCATTTTTTTTCACTTATCATGGCCTCCTTTTTCTTCCCGTTTTCTTCTGTCTTTCTTTTCTTCTCTATTTTTACCGTTTCTTTTTCTCACCCATCTCTTTATCATTCTTTTTTTTTTATAATTATTCATTATTTTCCCCTGCTATCATTTATTTATGTCTGCTACTTTTTATTCCCTTATCATCTTTTCATTTTCTTTCACTACTTCTGTTCCGTCTTTTACCCAACACCTGCTTAAAAAAAGACCCCTACATTTGCCGATTAAATTCTCTGGCTGACACAAACCACTTTTTGCGTTTATTGTTCTAAAAAGAAACTATTAATCATGAGGACAAATAAATAGCGAAAGATTTTTAACCAACCGACAGCTGTTAGTCTTAAAGTCGCCACCCCCACGCCTTTAACAGCTCCTCCACTCAGCCTTCTTTTTCATTCACTTTCTTTTCTTTTAAACCTTTTCTCATTTTTCCTTGTTCAGCTTTTCTCACCAACAAATATTCTTCGGAGGTGAAAATCTATTTTTTTTATTTCTATTTTCTACAATCAACTTTGTACAAAATAAAAAACGAAAACGGTGATTCAGTGTATATTTCTAGTCGTGAAATACAGCAGAATCCCTGACAACATAGGAAGGCCTTCCGGATATGAGGAATTGGTTGCAAAGTCCGGATATGAGAGGTTATATTTAAATTAAAATAAAAGAACTGAAATCAGTTTCAACATCTATTTTCAGCGTTTTATAATAAACAAAATAAGCTAATGGTGAGTGACATATAACGGAATTGATTTTAAGGAATAAAGAAATAAATTATGTAATATTAATGAAAATTAATTAAATTAAGTATGCCATGTATGCAAAACAAATAATATATCGAGGATTTTTTAATCGCTGTTGCATGCTGATTCTTTCTCTTCTAATGCCATTCTCAACTTTTTCCGTGTTTCGCTTTGCTTTTGTTTTTGAAATTTTTTAAACGAAAGTTACTTTTTAACTCTGTTTGTGTTATTGCAATCGTCATAGCTGAATGCTGGCTTTCTTTCCATAAAACTGATAACCTTTTCAATGGCTTTTTTCAATTTCAGTCCAGGTTCCATCACAATCATGCATCTCGTCGCTATCTTGTTGCAGATGTGTCTTGTTTTCATCCTTTCCTCTTATTCCCATCATATTTTGCACCAATACAAGCCATTAGGATGAAATAAGCATAAGCAATTATCTAAATAAATTTTCTGAAAAACAGAAATTTCAAATCAGTTACATACCACCCAAATAGTTGAAATATACACATCAAAATCATGTCCGGATATGCGGAATTCCAGATATAAGGCACTCCAGATATGAGAGATTCCGGATATGAGGGATTTCGGATATGCGGGATTCTGGATATGAGGGATTCCGGATTTGAGGTATTCTACTGTATATCGAAACAGGTTTTCCATTCTTGTAAGTAGTATGTAAGGGGTGGGGGCCTCCTCACTCCCCTCATTTTATGATACATAATTTTTTATTTTTTTACAGTAAGATTCCCCTTGTACAAGCCCGTGGTCCACTCAAGGTAGAGGGTTACATTAAGGGGTACTTTATATGGATAGGCGGGGAAGATTAGCTTTAGACTTGAAAGGGTTTTAGATTGTAGTGATCAGGGAAAGCTACGCTTGGAGGTCTGCTCCACAAGGAAGTAGTTCGCGAAAAGAAGCTGTTCGAGTGGAACTTACTATTGCCGATGGAATACGGGGGGAATGCGAGTGGTTTGCAACTATGTAAGTTGCATGGCGGGTCCTAGTTAGACCTGATAGAACAAGGAATATAGTTCGTACGATCACTTTCCATGGAAGTAGCAATAGGGCAGTGAGAGAGACTGGCCACATTCCGCCTGGGCGATAGAGGTTGGGGAGTGGAAAATAATTCTTCTCCAAACAGATTTTGATCTCTGTCTAGACTGGAAAGTGAGGACTGGGCAGATGCTGCTCAAATAAGGCAGCAGTACTACAATTTCTTCTTGATTTGGCTCTTATAAAGATAAGGTTCTCCTATTAGTATGTTGTACTTTGGTAAATGTAGGATTTAGTGAAGAGGGTTGTGTTCTTGGGATGAATGAGTAAATTCTAAGGAAAGACTCTGGTCGCGAATTAGATAAGCTAAATTTAGAAGAGTCAATGACGAGTCACCCTACGCCCTCTACGGTCTTGTGCTACAGTTGTATTTAAAGTAAAATAAATATACAATAAAATATAAGAGAGGTGCGGAGAATAACGAGCCATCAAACCAAAGATTCAACAAGAGGTTATTGACAACTTTCAAGAATTTAACAATGAACAAAATTATTTAATCTAAAGTTTCAGCATCTCCTTCGAATTTGTCCCTTATCTGATTCCCTTAACTTTATAGAAAAATAAACTTCGAACTAGAAAGATCAATACCATATATTTTATTGTCGATCAAACGGTAGAACTGATTTAAGTGAACGCGTTGAATTAAAAATCAATGGTGAAACTTTATCAATATGAGTGTCGCAGTTTGATTTTTTTTTTGCAGTAATTGTCTTCTTCGAAGCAATTATATATTTCAGTTATTTGAGGCGTTAACCTCTTTTGTAATGACAGGATTTATAAGTCAGATCATACGATCAAAACAAAAAACAAAAAGGAAAAGCACACAGTTGGAAAAGATATGTAAGGATATAATTTATCCTCCTCAAAATGGTTGAAATATTTTACTCAAGAAATTATCAAATTAATAAAATCTAATCTTGAATAGATTTTAAAGCCAAATTCGTTATTTCAGGATTAGATTTCTGCAATGTTTACATAAACGTAACTTGAATATATAAACAGACGACAACACGATCAATTATGATGACGTCATTAGGCGACGATGTTGTATTATCAAGGGAGCGCGCATGTATAAAAGCAACCAATAAGCATCCGACTAATTTCTTTTATTTTATGATTTACGACAGCCGAGTGCTCCAAAGCAGGTCGGGATAACTAAGCCCAAATAAAAGTGCAAATCAAATAAGTAATATAACAATGGATTTATTTATTAAATTGCCAAATGAAAACTTTAACAAATTTATCGAACATAAACGTTATTGAAGATACCCGTTGTCAAGTGTTCCATTTCATTTATTTTGTGTGTATTTCTTGCTGAAAAGCCAGCTAAGGTCTTTCTTATCCAATAACTAGACACCTGATTATCAGGTTGCTGAATTCCTTTTGAGGTATTACGCATAACCGAGCCAGGAATAGTCATTGGCTCATCTCAACGCTTCATTTTTCTCTTCTACCATTAATTAATACGAGTAGCCAATCAGATTACGAGGAAATGTTTACGCTGTAAGAATTTACTATTGTCACAATATTAAGAGATTCTGGATTGTATGAAAACGAGTAGAGATCTCTGACAATTATTGTTTCGTTTCAAATCCTTGCACGTCTTCGAATTCAAACATTTTTAAAAAACTGGCTAGGAATTCCCTGTTCTGTTTCGTCGTGGAAGATTTCTTCATACAACTGTCCCATTTCAGTAGTGTTTTTTTTATCTCTGATATCTGTGTCACGGCCTTGAATTTTATGCATCCCTTTGATGAGAATGTTTTTTGTCCTGTTAGTTTCCTTTGTTTATATACATATCTACTTTATCTGTGATACCTATTCCTTCTAATTCTGTACATTTTCACTGAGCTTTTCGCCTGTATATTTTACCAATTTTCTTTTGCAGAATTCTATATTCTCTGCCGTAACTTGGTATCATATTGTCTCCTTTCATCATGCCGAGAATGTTATCTGTTATCTATTCTTTTTTTTTTTCTTTGTACTATTTTTTATTTGGGATGATCTTGATTGCTGATTTCTGTGATGTCAACAAACACTCGTTGCCACTTTTGTAATGTCAACGAATACTCGTTGCCACTTTCGTAATGCTTGTTGTAGTAGATATTTTGTAATCGCAGATGCAACTATAGTAACGCCGTTGAACAATACTGGTGTCAGACGCCTTCGAATAACACTCGCACTAATAGTACTTGCTCGATAACACTCGCTCGAAAAGTAACCACTAAATAGTGATCCTAATAGTAATCCGTGTAGTGAAATATTCACTGACTGCCCCACGCAGTCGGATGCGACAAAAGTCAAGTTTATTGTGGGGTATCCGAGTCCGTAAGCTCGATCAAAAATTCCCCGTAAAAACGGGTTCGGGTAGCTGTCTATCACCCCAGACGAGACTCTGCCCTTCGGCATAGAATCGTCTGGGTTCCTCTCTGTCCGATGCAGTGAGTCTGACAAGCACACTTCCGAAGTAATTGGAAGAATGATCCCTTAGACGCCATATATACATTTCTTTGAACATCATGTGATCTACCATCCCGTGATCTACTTATTCAAAATGGGATCGCCTGTGTTATCTCTCTGGTGATCAGTGTTCAAACTGCAGTGTCGGCAGCGACACTTTATTCCTATATAACACTGATATTAATAAAGCTTCTCTCAATATGTCCCACTTTCCATTCTCATTTTGCCCTTTGTATCTGCTTTTATCATTGTCCATAAATTTCTCCTTCATATTCGGGGCTGTCGTATTGCAATTTGGCTGCTGCCTTGGCTCTTTTCAAATTTCAATTTCTTTAGTTCTTTCTGTTTACTGAAAGGTGGTCGCTCCCGCAGTCAGCACTTGGGTATGTTTTGCAGTATAAAACTGTATCCCTGGATCTCTTATTGATAGTTATATAGTTGATATATATTTTTGGTTTCTCCTCCTGGGATCTCCATTTCCATATGCATTTTGGGTGTTC